TAAAGAGATGTAAATAATAGATCACCGATATAAATAAATAAATTTAATTCGATTTTAAATTCATAAAAGATTTTTATTATATTTATTAAATTTAACTGCAGATTATTCAGAAAAAGTTTAATTTAAACGATATGATTTTGATACGTATTGTCTTCCATTGTCATCTGAATATAATTTTTCCTATTTATATCTCTATGAAAATGAATTGAATTCTTTCAATTAGTTGATTTGATGAAAATTTTTATTCATTAGTTACTGTAATTTATTATTTTCAATACTTTTCAATAGTTGTAGGGATAAGGATCTTTAATTTAACTGATTCTATTTTTAATTTTTCCAAAATTTATATGCAAATTTTGCCCAAATTAAGCTCTAGTTCTGCCAAATTATACTTTAATTAAAGTAAAAACTTATTAAAAAAATATTTTCTTGATTTCTATTGACTCGACACCATATTTGCGCAAGATATGAATTAATTAAACAATTAATGAAAAGTATAATTTATCTAGCGAATAGTTAAAATATATTGTGATATAAAAATTTAATTTTATTTACAATGAATCCAGAATTCAGCGAACTGCATTGTTTTAAGTAAATGAAAATAAACTTTAATTGTATAATAAAATTAAATGGTACTTATATATGGTGACAATTAAATAAAGTCGAATTTAAAAAAAATGTCCGAAGGGGTGAAAATAAATATTTGTTTGGCATTACTATTTATTCCAATTTTTATTCTCACGTTTCTTTGTCCATCGCTTAATGATATTATGATTAATTTAATAAATTTGTATTTATTAAAATTCATTTCAAGCATATTTTTGTAAATCCTATGACATCGCACTTATTTCTTAGTCAAAACGTTGTATTGTTTTTTAAGAAATTTCAATTGATTGATTAATCAAAAAATGTTACAAATCTTCTGCTGTACTACCTCGAGAAGAGTGATGTCGTATGATTATTGGACCTAGAGTGCCCAGAATTATGCACCGCAGAATTCTGGACACCCTAATTGGACCTTTTAAAAAAATGGAGTATTTGAGTAGGTGAAAACCCGGAAAGGCCTCATTTCTTTAAACTTTTTCATTAAAATCAAATTAAATAAACCAAATTGCTTAATACTATTAAATCAAATAATAAACCATTAATATGTATTCTTTATAAAGTTAACATAATATAAATTAGACCACGAATATCCGATCCCACCACAAGTTAAATATAAATAACTCTTAAAATTAACAGACAAATCTTAAACATCTTTAAAAAAAGCAATGTCATCAGATGATGGTCTAAAAATAAAAAAGTTTAAACAATCATTAGAAATAATTGACCAAATTCGAAGAGATAACAGGGGGGAAAAAACAAAACCATTACAAGAACTTTTCATAAGAATTAATGAAGCTAAAAAAAATCTTTGAAGAAGCTGAAAATGAATACAATAGACAACTAAACAAAACATTTAAGGTTGCATACGCATCAGATGATTATAAAACAGCCTTCGAGTTTCTTCAATCAATTCAGAACGAAGGCAATAATTTTACTAAAAGTAAAGTAATAAATAAAATTGGAATGCGCTTACTTGGTGGCTTCGGTTGTAAACAAAATATTGCACAAGGGCGAGAATTAATTAAAAAAGCTTCAACACTTGGTCTTACTAGCGCAACTACTTGGGTAAATCTATATAATTCTAGAAGCGATTTTAGTGCAAGCGAAGTTATTAGGTGTAAAATGATATAATTTATTAATGAGCTTTACAATTTTACTAGATAATAACAAATTAAATAAAAATAATATTTCATGAAAATAGTTATCAAAACTGCGATAATTGGAATAAATAAGCGCAACGACAAGATTCCTTTTTATTTGCAATGATATCTGACAATTTAATAACGAGGTTAACGTCTCGAAATGAAAATATAAATACTGTTTAATACCGATGATTCAAAGTCAAGTTAAATAAGCATTATGGACGAATATAATTATATTTTAAGAAATAATCTATTTGTAACAACCTGTTACATAACAACTGCTAATATTAGAGTTAGGGTTTGGATTAGCGTTAGGGTTAGGTTAGTGTTGGGTTAGGTTTAAAATTAATGTCAAGATTAATACAAAATTGCGAGAGGGTCATTTTTCATTAACAGCACAAAAGAGATTACCTTAGTAAAATTTTGTGTTACAGAGAATTTAAGTATAGGTTGTTACCGTTACGTAACATGTTGTTACAAATAGACTTATCCATATTTTTAATTGAATTTTCTTAATTGCGCTCGTATTAAACTAAATAATTATATTTATTTTTAATGCCAGTTTTATAAAATTTTTGCTAAAAATATTTAAATAACAAACTTATAAAAATTACGGTAATTTTCCAACCCTACTGACAAGTATTACGCAAAATTACATCTTTACGTTACATTGTAATTTACGAAACTGTTATTTAACTTTACATTAAATAGTGCATTGTCACATGATAATTGTACCGACATAACAAAAGTTTTGCCAGCACTAAAATAGATATCATTATGTTCAGAATTGTAATTTATACAGTAATTACATGTAATTTTGATTTCAGAAATTTACACAAACTTACGTTAAGTAATATAAAATTACAGTAATTTTCCGACCCTACTGACAAATGAAAGTTATGTGAAATAATATAACAATAAAAATTTTGTATTTGATATCTTTATTACTAGTGTTTGGATCCGTGGATATCCGACTATTTTTTGCCTAATACCCTGGCTCAACTCTCTCACATAATTTTTTTCAGGAGGTAATTTGTAACCGGTTAGTACATTATAAATTTAGTAAATTATTAAGTAAAATACCCCGATTTTTTTATTATGCACACACATATAACTGGGAGATATTTTAGTAGTTTTTAAGCATAGCCGGGATATTACCCTTTAATAACAACCCGGGCAATTATTACAGCAAATTTAAATTAATGTTTTTTACATTTACAGTTTAAAAAAAAATAAATAAATTATTCAACTTATTCAACTACTAATGAAAATTTTAACTTTACAATTAGTAAAGTTAAAATTTAAACCCTTAGACTGAAATTCTTGTGTAGTATCATCTTGAGTCGCTTGCGGAACAGATAAAGGAGTAAGTGGTGATCGAGACCGGGTAATTGAGTTTGCCTGGTCTTCTTTGCTTTTATCATAATTCTTATCAATATTTTCATCGTCAGATTCATTATTACTTTCATTTTCATAGTCAATTCCATCACCTTTATTGTTTTCTTTGGTTTCATTATCATTCTTGTAAATATAAATTCTTTTTAAATTAGTACGTAGCATATAATAAATAAAAATAAAAATAAATATAATATATTGTACCTTTTGTGTACCAGGT